CCAGTTAATCAGACCAAGTGATTGTTTCTACAGGATGGCCGTTTTGTTTCATTCTATGCAGAGGCCCTGATTAACTCCAGATTTGATGCAATTCCTGCCACTGGAGGAAACAGTGGGAAATTTTGCTGAGAGTTAATACACTATAGCTTGAATAATTGTCTGATTTAAATGTCTTCAGTGTAATGCTATATACTAATTTCCATAGGTTCAACAATGGATGGATGATTAAGATTGGAAGGGGACTTGATTATTTTAAGAAACCACAGGTAGGATATAATCTTATGAGTATATATATAGTGTTGTTTTCATATCATTTTTAATAGTATCTTTTTTTTTTCTCTTCTTAGGGTCGTTTTTCCCTTGGATATTGTGATTTTGATTTAAGACCATGTCATGAAACAACAGTGGATATTTTTCATACCACCCACACAAAAAAAATATGATGGGTAGCAGCCTTATATGTTTCTGCTCTAAGTGATGTCTTAGTCTATTTTCTGTTGCTACAACCGAATACCAGACTGGGTAATTTATAAAGAATCGAGATTTATTTAGCTCATGATTCTGGAGGCTGCAAAGTCCAAGAGCATGGTGCCGGCATTTGATGGAGGCCTCCTTCCTGCATATTAACATGGCCGTGGCATCTCTGGCCAGAGAGAGCTCGCTACTACAACACACCACACCAGCAACAGCCCATAACCCATTATCACAAAGGAGCCTCTGCAACCCAGTCATCTCCCAGCACTGCTGCAGTGGGGACCAGATTTCCAGTACCTGAACTTCTGGGTCAAACCTTAGCCAGTGATTATTGGATTTTATTTTTTTATTTGAACAGATGACTTTTATAATGTATGAATGTAACAATAAACTCTATTTCTAGTAATTTACGGCTGCATTGTTCACTTGAAGGAACTCCTGAGTACTTCTGTGAATATTATTCTCAGTAGATTCATAGTGCAGTGTTTCTTTTCAGGTCACACAGCCAATTTAAACATTTCACCAGTTTTTCTCTTACTTTTTGGCAAATAATTGCACAAACAGTAAGTGGGTATCAAGAAGATATTAATCTTGACCCTGAAAAGGGAAAATTATCCTGGATTAGAGTGCTCTTAAGAGACAGATGGGAGGCAGATGTTGTGGCTTAGTGGGTTAAACCACTGCTTGGATGTCCATATCCCACACCAGAGTGGCAGCCCGAGTCCTAGCTGCTCTGCTTCCCATCCATCCTGCTAATCATCTTGGGAGGCAGCAGGTGATAGCCCAAGTGCTTAGGTTCCTGCCACCCATGTAGGATACCCCTGTGGAGTTACAGGCTCCTGGCTTTGGCTTCTCCCAGCCATGGCTGTTGAAAGCATTTGGAGAGTTAAACGAGTAGGTGGAAGATCCCTCTCTATTTTTTCTCTCTCTCGTGCCTGTTCAAATAGATAAAAAAATAAACATTTTTAAAAGGTGGACATTGGGAGTCCAATAACCAGACCAAAACACCACAACATTAATTTTATGATTAAATTAACTGTCGTTGGCAGAATCGCCAGTGTTCAGTTGTCTGATATGGATGACTCCATTCAATTTGAACCTGACTCTAGACAGGCACATCGACTCAGTTATGCAGATGCATTTTGCCCCTCATTCCCTTTGGCAAACCCTTGAAGCTCAGAATCCACTGGATTAATCCATCCAGATGCTGGTAGAGCGACTAGGGACAAAGATTAGGACTCATGGAGACGGTCAGGAAGAGGGAAAGCATCCTGGCGGCAGGGGCAGCCCACAAGCTTAAAGAACAAAGCCAAAGTCCCTAAGGGAAAGCTGAAGTACCAGTTTTGCAGAGAGTATTCAACAGTGTGGTGGACCAAAGCCAGGTAAAGGCCACTGGAACAAGGTTAGACAGGGGTCCTGGGCAGCCTGGGACACTGGGTTTATGTTTAGTCTTTGTGTCCAACAGGTATTTGAATTGGCATTCAAAGACAGGAAGGGCTTCCAGGAAATTTCCTGATGTTTTTCTTTGATATTTTCAAGTTCAGTTGCTGATAAGGCTGAATCTGAAAAACAGACCCAACTAGTTTTTCTAAGATTATCTGGAAATTAAGGGTGTCTGGAGAACTCTTGGACAAGTTTTTTGGTTTTTTTTTTTTTTTTGGTTGCTTTAAGATTATTTTATTTGAAAGAGTTAAAGTGAGAGAAGGGAAGACTGAGAGAGGAGAGAGATCTTCCATCTGCTGGTTCACTCCCCAGAGGGCCATAACAACCAGGGCTGGACCAGGCTGAAGCCAGGAGACCCACTGGGTCTCATGTAGGTGCAGGGGTCCAAGCAGGGGGCCACCCTCTGCTGCTTTCCCAGGTACATTAGCAGGGAGCTGTATCGCAGTGGAGCAGCTGGGACTCAGACTGATGCCCATATGGGATGCTGGCTCTGCAGATGGCAGCCTAACCTGCTGCCCTATGGCTCCAGCCCCAATTGGACAAGTGTTTAACTCCATCAAAAGTTCCCTTCTGCACAGTTCCCCAGCCTGTCTTGCCAGTACCCATTGCCAGGTGGAGTGGCTTTTCATTCAGGGGACAACTGTGGTAGACCTCTTTATCTTTTTCCTGTTAAAAATAACAATTTGATTTATAAGCCATTTGAATCTGTCACTATAGAGAGTAATTCACAGCCCTGTGAAATCAACTTTTATCCAACTTCTTTAAAAATCCTAGCTAAGAGATAGTGGCGTTTAAGAAAGTGAGTCTGTGTACTATCCATTATTTTAGATATTTGGAATTCTATCTCCAGATCAAATTAAAGTACCAGAAGGCTACCAAGTACAAGTTTAAATATATCAAGAGATATGCAAGAATTACGTGGATATTTAAAAGCTTTATGAAAAGATGTAAAGGCAAACCAGAGCAACTGGAAAGACAAATTATATCCTGAAAGGGAAAAGTTAGTTTCAGTTCTCCCTAAATTAACTTACAAATCAGATGACAAAGGAGACCTAACACTAGACTTACCTGGCCCACTATAAAGAAAAAGCTACAATATATATATATATAATACACACACACACACTCATGAACATCCAGTGACTAGTGTAATATCTGGCATATAGAAGCCACTCTGAAATAAACATAGTGAATGAATGAACTGTAGAGACAGGAAATGGTCAAGAATGATATTTTTTGTTTTTACTTATTTGCGAGACAGAGCTGCTGCCTACTGGTTCAGTACCCAAATGCCCGCAACAGCTCTCCACTGGGGCCAAAGCCAAACTGAGAACTCAATCCAGGTCTCCTACAAGGTGGCAGGGACCCAACTACCTGAGCCATCCCAGGATGCGCATAGCAGGAAGGTGAAATTGGGAGCAGAGCTGGGACTTGAACCCAGATACTCTAATAAAGGATGCAGGCGTCTTCATCACTAAGCCAAACACCTGTTCCTCTTACAAGTTTTTGCAATGAAGAGATGGAGAGAAAGGGTCTTAAGCAGGAGAGTTCTGAGACCGAGATGTATGTTCACTAACTATGGTTAATGATACAGTAAAAAGGAACAGAGGGGAAAATGTGATACACAAAATACAAATTGATAGTGCAAGTCCAAACACAAGCAGGAGAGAACAGAATCCAGCGTACAATTAGGACAGCATTAAGGAAAGAAGGTACTTCTGAGACTGCATGAGAAATGTTGAAGTAGAAAGCATGGAGGCCACAGGGACTCTTACTGCATGCACTCTCAAATTAGGAATGAAAGTTTAGGACAAGGTGAGATTTGTGGAAATCTGAGTGGGAGACCGGTGGAAACAATAATCCCTCTTAAGAAAGAGAGGGAGTGTACCAGAGACAAACCGAATGACACTAACAGCAAGAAGATATGAAATTGGACTAACATGTGTGATTACATAATCCCCACGCCCCCCAGCATTGCTTGACATTTAGGTACAGGTGTTTGGATTCAGCAAATGTGGCTGTGAGTAGGAGGTGAAGGGAGAGAAGTAAAAGAATACAGGTAAGAAAGTACAGTATTCTTGCAGTAATTCTGATTGGAATATGAAGGGAAGTGAAGCAAGAGTTAGGGCTCTTCTTTAATCTTACAGAGCAGTAGGTTTCGTTTAGTGGGAGAATGAAGACAATGAAACCTACTTAGTCCCCAATATTTGCAGATTCAGTCAACGAGGGATAAAAAATATTGGGGGGAGGGAATGCATCCCTACTGAACTTGTCTAGGCATTTGTCCTTGTCATTATGCTCTAAACAATACAGTATAACAGCTATCTACCTAGCTTTTACATTGCATTCTAGAGATGATTTACAATATATGGGAAGATACGCATAAAGGATATATGCCATCACCATGCCATTTTTTGAGACAGAGAGAAAGGTCTTCCTTCCGTTGGTTCACTCCCCAGATAACTGCTACGGCCGGCTCTGCACCGGTCCAAAGCCAGAAGCCAGGTGCTTCTTCCTGGTTTCCCATGTGGGTGCAGGGGCCCAAGCACTTGGGCCAACCTCCACTGCACTCCCGGGCCACAGCAGAGAGCTGGACTGAAAGAGGAGCAACCAGGACTAGAACCTGGCGCCCATATGGGATGCTGGTGCCGCAGGCGAAGGATTAACCAAGTGAGCCACGGCACCGGCCTCACCATGCCATTTCTTTAAGGAACTCAGTCATCCACAAATTTTGGTATCCTTCAGGTGTGCTGGAACCAATCCTTCATGGATACTGAGGGTCAACTGTGTAACTAAAAGGGAGAATTTTAGAGTTTAAGAAAAATAGAAGCCTGGGTTATAATCCTTAGAAATAAAAAAGGAAAAAACAAATTCAGAGTTCAGAGTGTCTAACATGGTTCCCATCTCGAGGTCAATAAATGAGGAAGAAGCTGGAATATAAATATGTGCCAGGTATTAAATCAGTGAAGAAAGAAAGAGTATTCTAGAAGACGGTAGGAAATGGACAAGGATTGGTGATCATTTCAAATGGGAGTTACTGGGAGAGTAAGCACTCTCTCGTTTTTCAAAGCAGACACAAAACATGCATTGGGAATTTTTATTTTCTCATTGAAATGGTATTAAGAAATGTAGGAATCACATTATTCCTTTAATTTTTTCACAGAGCATATTCCATTTACTGTGCAGTTCATGGTCTTCTGGACATGTTCTAAGTAATATATTTGTTAGCATGGTAGTTTCAATTGGGCAAAACTTGCTGCCAATAAAACTTGAATTTAATTTGTCACATATTTCCAGTGGCAACCAATGATCAGGTGCTTCAATACTGCAGATTTCAATTCTGCCATTCTTTATGTCTATGAATACTTTAATTTCTAGGTGTGAGTGTTTATACAACACATTAAAGGAAGTGTTTATACTAAACTTTGGAGTTTTGCCATATATCCATTCCCAAGTTTGTAGCTCTTTGGCTTTGGTATTTATTCCAGGAAACAGTGTCTCGTCTGCTGGGTTTATTAGAGTAATGTGATTATCAAGTTGATGGTAGGCAGCATACTCTGCAGCAATGGCATTCATCACCATTTCACAGGTCAGAGTTGGATCTTTTTCAAAAAGATTCTTTACCACGGAAGGTATGCTAGTGGTGGCATTGGTCCTGATCCCCTGGTAAGGGCTCTTCAGCAAAGAAGATAAGGCGGTCCTATCAGTACAGCATAATAAAGTGCAATGGTGATAGGCAGTCGCCCGGCCGATCTTAGAGGCTGTTCCTGAGATTTTAAACTGTCCATCGAGTAAAAGGTCAAACCTTTTGGTAGCCTGCACATCTAGCTGGGGTTGAATGGCATTCAGAGCTCTCACAACCAATTTCAGATTTTTCATTCTATCATACCTGTTTTTGGTTGTAAAGAAAGTCAAGTTGATATTACCCATATCATGGTAGACTGCTCCTCCTCCACTTCTTCTCCGAGCCAGTTTTATACCTCCTTCTCTCATCAGATTCAGATTACATTCCTGCCAAGGATTCTGATGCCTACCAATTACAACAGAGGGAGAATTTCTCCAAAAGAAAAGAATCGGCTTGCCTTCTAGATTCACATGGTCATGGATCCAGTCTTCCACAGCCAGATTTTGATAAACGTCATTGGAAACTGACTGTAAAATGAGTCCACTTTTTACTGTGGTTTTAAAGCCAGCTACTGGGACCTTGTGGTTACAAAGTAACTGGAGGCAATTCTTCATTGAAAATGGAGTCCGCATGCTCTGAAAAATGGAATACAAACCAGTAAATTCAAGGAAAATTAAATTCTCTTTTCTCACTATCAATTATTGGTTATTTACTCCAAACACACCTAATTCTCTGAAGTATCCAGTTCAGTTGCTTCTCATGCCTTTTAGCTTTATTCTTAGTCCTCTGCAACTCTACAACACAGTACTGAAAGTAAATAGAGACAGGCTGGCGCTGCGGCTTGATAGGCTAATCCTCCACCTGCAGCGCCGGCACTCCGGGTTCTAGTCCCGGTAGCCCCTCCTCCAGTCCAGCTCTCTGCTGTGGCCCGGGAGTGCAGTGGAGGATGGCCCAAGTGCTTGGGCCCTGCACCCCATGGGAGACCAGGAGAAGCACCTGGCTCCTGGCTTCGGATCAGCGCAGTGCGCCGGCCGCAGCACACCGGCCACAGTGGCCATTGGAGGGTGAACCAACAGTAAAGGAAGACCTTTCTCCCTGTCTCTCTCTCTCCCACTGTCCCCTCTGCCTGTAAAAAAAAAAAAAAAAAAAGTAAATAGAGCAAACTCCAAATAATTTCAGTTTACATAGTTTTCAAGCAATAAGTCTACAGCATATACATTATGTACTAAATCTCAGAGCTGAGAAAATTTATTATTATTATTGTTACTTTTGAGAGGCACAGAGAGAGAGAGAGAGAGAGAGAGAGAGAGAGAGAGCTTCCATTCACTAGTTCATTTTCCAAATGCCTGCGATGGCTGAAGCCAGAGCTGGGTACCAGAAACTCAATTCTTGAGCCAACATTGCTGCCTCTCAGGGTGCACATTAGCAGGAAGCCAGAGTCAGGAGTGGGAGCCAGGTGTCGAACCCAGAAAGTCTGATGTGAGCCGTAAGCATCTTGGCTGGCATCTTAACTACTAGGCCAAATGCCTGCTCCAAATCTTTTTTTTTTTTTTTTTTCCACAGGCAGAGTGGACAGTGAGAGAGACAGAGAGAAAGGTCTTCCTTTTGCCGTTGGTTCACCCTCCAATGGCCGCCGTGGCCGGAGCACTGCAGCCGGCGCACTGCGCTGATCCGAAGGCAGGAGCCAGGTGCTTCTCCTGGTCTCCCATGTGGGTGCAGGGCCCAAGCACTTGGGCCATCCTCCACTGCACTCCCGGGCCACAGCAGAGAGCTGGCCTGGAAGAGGGGCAACTGGGACAGAATCCAGCACCCTGACCGGGACTAGAACCTGGTGTGCCGGTGCCGCAAGGCAGAGGATTAGCCTACTGAGCCGCAGCGCCGGCCTGCTCCAAATCATTTTAAAGTATTTCTTTATTCGAGAGGTAGAAGCAGGGGTTGGGGGAGGGCTAGCTCCCATTTGCTGGTTCACTTTCCAAGTGCCTGCATAGGCATAGGCTAAGGCTGGGCCAGGGCCAAAACTGTGAATGCAACCCAGGTCTCCTATGGGGGTGAAGGCAACCTCATTACTTGAGGCATCACTGCTGCCTCCCAGGAGGCAGGACTGCACTGGCAGGAAGCTGGAGTCAGAAGCTGGAGTCAGGAGTCAAACCCAGATACTCTGATGTGGGATGCAAGCATCGTGACTAAATGCCCACTCCATCAAACCTAAGCAAATTATTTTGAATTCACAAGTAATACAAGTTCATTGAGAAAAATGAGAAGATACTGATAAGTAAAATATAGAAAATAAAAAAATCCATAATCAAACCACCTGGAGAGGATCAAAATTTAACATTTTAGTATATACCCACTTTATTTCAGGCCATATGTGTGTGTATACGCATGCACGCACACACGTACACACAGAGGTTATTCCAGGCAAAGGCAAGAGTCATCCAATAGTAAGGCATCTTCTAGGGACACCTTCCTAAGGGACAGAGTTATATTATCAGTCTTCTAACTCCACTGAAGCCTCTGGCTACACCATCCCAGGAAGTCCCTGCATCCAGATTGCATTTCTTTGGTAAGTCTCATCATTCTGGTTCTATTTGAATTCCTCCAACAAATATTTAAGGAATGCCTACTAGACACAAAGCAGGAAGGGGACAGAGGAGAGGACAAGAAAGTTTCTTCTAATCTGTAACATTTGGACTGAACAGTAGCTATTACCTTCACAAGTGTTTTAAGCAGGAAAGTGTTAAGTCGGCCATTAAATAAGCCTGCTGCTGCAGGTTGACAACATGTTAGAGAAAGGATAGACTAGAAGTAGGGAGAGCAGCTAGTAGACTAATGCAGTTGTCAAGGCTGAAGATAACAAGGATCTGAACCAGGGTGAGGGGGGAGAGAGGGAGGGAGGGAGGGAGAGAAGGGAATGGTGTTTGGCACAATAGACAAGTCCCCACTTGGGATGGCCACATCTCACATTGGAGTGTCGAGCCTGGAGTCTTGGCTACTCCACTTCTGATCCAGCATCTGCTGATATCCACCCTGGGAGGCAGCAGGTGATGGTTCAAGACTTGGTTTTCTGCTACCCACAGGGGCGATCCAGACAGAGTTCTGGGCTCCGGTCTTTAGCTTGGCCCACCCTGGCTGTCACTGGCATTTGGGAGTGGACCAGCAAATAGAAGAGTTCTATCTCTGTCTCTGCCTTCTAAATATTACAAGAAAGAGGGATCAAAGTGCCTTCAAGAAACTTTTACTATCTTCACTATCTAGTTGGAGACACTAGAAAGCAAGTGAGGCAATAATAAACATACAGTGTCATAAGTGCTGTGATAGCTCTAAGTACATTAGAGGACCATCTAACTCTCTAATCTGTTTAAGTGTCATTAAAAGTGCTCACTTCAGCAGCACATATACTAAAAATTGGGACATTACAGATGAAACGTAAAAGGGGTAAGGAAAAATATTTCAACCATGTGCAGCAGCTTTGTAGAAAAAGAGACAGGGCCGGCGCCGTGGCTCACTAGGCTAATCCTCCGCCTTGCGGCGCTGGCACACCGGGTTCTAGTCCCAGTCAGGGCGCCGGATTCTGTCCCGGTTGTCCCTCTTCCAGGCCAGCTCTCTTCTGTGGCCAGGGAGTGCAGTGGAGGATGGCCCAAGTGCTTGGGCCCTGCACCCCATGGGAGACCAGGAGAAGTACCTGGCTCCTGCCATCGGATCAGCGCAGTGTGCCAGCCACAGCAGCCATTGGAAGGTGAACCAACAGCAAAAAGGAAGACCTTTCTCTCTGTCTCTCTCTCTATCCACTCTGCCTGTCACCAAAAAAAAAAAAAAAAAGAAAAAGAAAAAGAGACAGAACTCATACAAAGAATTTGATCCCAGTCGCTCTAGTATATATGACTACAAGAATTGGGGAGTTGCAAGGGATAAAGAGATAGAAGAGGTCAGATTAAGATAAGCCTTAAAATCCTTGTGGAAACAATAATCCTTGAGAAATAATTGAACTTCACCCACAGAAGCATGAGGGAGGCATATGGTACTGTGGAAGCTTCAAGGAAACAAGAGGGGCAACAGAGCCAAATGCTGAAAACAGATCAAATACGATAAGGAGTGGAAAGATCTATTAGCATGAACAGCATCAAGGTTATTTGTGATCTTGGCCAAAACCAGATGTGCTGTGGCAAATGGGAAGCCCACAGTGGAGAGCGAGTGTATCCTAGCTGTGAGGTGGGAAATCTAGGGCAGTAGTCAGCAGTGGTATGTGCAGTTGGGAGAAGACTTACGACATAAGAGACCCGAGTATGTTTAGATCCCGGTAGGAGAGATGGAAGATGAGAGGACAACCTTGGTGGAGGCAGGTCTCTGAAAAAGTGATGGTGTTGGAATCCCAAGTGCAGATAGGGAGGTAGCCTCTGCCTGCACCAAGGAGTCTTTCACTGGGATCCAAGGAGCAACAGTAACAAAGAGGGGTGGTAGATGCTACTAAGCTGGATGGTGTTTATAACGGAGACCCTCAAAGACCTTGTGTACATCCTTCCCTAAGGCTAAGGCTCTCACACTAGTCTGCGAATGCAGCCTGTAGCAGGATAGCAAATTACTGAAGAGCTTAAAATTTTAATCCTGGCTCTGCCACTTAGCACTAAATAACCTTAGGCAAGTGATTAACTTCTACTTGCTTTAAATGCCTCAGACTTCACAGAATGCTTGAGAATTAAATGTTAAAATGCACAGAGTTGGCCGGTACTGTGGTGCAGCGGGTTAACACCCTGGCCTGAAGCGCCAGCATCCCATATGGGTACTGGTTCGAGTCCCAGCTGCTCCACTTCCCATCCAGCTCTTTGCTATGGTCTGGGAAAGCAGTAGAAGATGGCCCAAGTCCTTGGGCCCCTGTGCCGCGTCGGAGACCTGGAAGAAGCTCCTGGCTCCTGGCTTTGGATCGGCGCAGCTCTGGCCATTGCGGCCAATTGGGGAGCGAACCACTGGATAGAAGACTTCTCTCTCTGCCTCTCCTCTCTCTGTAACTCTTTCAAATAAATCTTTAAAAAATCAAAATAAAATGCACAAAGTATCCATGTCTGGCAAACATGAAATACACTATGTTAACTGTTATTATATTATATTATAGGCTTCCTCCCTTCTCATCTTCATTCTGATCATACTGTTCCTATCGTATAACAAGCTTTTCCTCAAGTGTACAAGAATTCCTAAGACACATCAAATTGACATCTGCCTTGACAAATTAACTGCAGTTCACAATATTTTAGCCAAAGACATGATCTTGTTGGGGTTCCAGGATTAATTCAATTCATGCATTGTGGATCACATATTAATCTAATTCATGTCTTTTTTTTTTTTTTTTTTTTTGACAGAGTTAAGACAGTGAGAGAGAGAGAGACAGAGAGAAAGGTCTTTTTTTTCTTGTTGGTTCACCCCCCAAAATGGCCACTACGGCCGGCGCTGCGCCGATCCGAAGCCAGGAGCCAGGTGCTTCTCCTGGTCTCCCATGCGGGTGCAGGGCCCAAGCACTTGGGCCATCCTCCACTGCCTTCCCGGGCCACAGCAGAGAGCTGGACTGGAAGAGGAACAACTGGGACAGAATCTGGGGCCCCAACCGGGACTAGAACCTGGGGTGCTGGTGCCACAGGCGGAGGATTAGCCAAGTGAGCTGCAGCACCGGCCGTAATTCATGTCTTTTAATAGTGCTCGAAATATCTCTATTCATTTAGGTATTATGTGTACAGTGTGAATGAGACAACAGAGGAATGAATTTAACAAACTGTGCATCTATTACCTGACAGGCATTGTTCTTGGCACTTGGTACTCATCACTGGGTCAATTAAAAGTGAAAATAAAAAGTAGAGGAGGGAAAGGGCGAGGACTGGAAATGTGTACTCTGAAGGAATTGGGTTGGAGTTCTGAGTAGGGTTGTTATACAACAGCCCTCATTAAAAAGCTGACAGGGGAGCAACCATGGAGGAGTAGAGGGAGTACCTAGTATTGGCCCAGCAGTTTTCAAGGCAAGTGAACATGTGAACCCGTAAATAGGCCTGGGGATGTAACATTTTAACTGAGCCCTGAAGAATTAGAAAGGGTCACACAAAAAAGTAAGAAAAAGTACAAAGGGGTTGCTCCACAAACTCTGAATGCAATTTTCCAAGAGAACTACGGACTACCAGCCAGATACTCAGATCAGCCTGCCCAGCTACTGGCTGCGGGAATACTGATAAACCAATTTGTCCCAAAGGTGCCTGGTGAACATACAATCAGAACAAAAGGGTTAAGTTCTACTCTTTCAATATCTGATTGGAGGGGACCAGAGGAGATCATGTCCACACCCCGGTCTGGAGAGTTAAACCAAGATATCTGTTTCCTTAGATTTTTCTGGGATGGGTGCACCTTTCCTTCTCTCTCTCTCTCTTTTTTTAAGATTTGTTTATTTATTTGAAAGGCAGAGTTACAGAGAGCGGAGGAGACACAGAGAAAGAGGTCTTCCATCGCTGGTTTACTCCCCTGATAGCCACAAGGGCCAGGGCTGGGCCAGGCTCAAGCCAGGGGCTTCACCCGGGGTTTTCCACGTGGATGGCAGGGGCTTGGACACTCGGGCCATGTTCCACTTCTTTTCCCAGGCCATCAGCAGGGCGCTGGATCAGAACCAGTGCCCACATGGGATGCCGGCATCGAAGGCAGCCGCTTTACTCCCTATGCCAAAACGCTGGCCCCAACACGGCCTTTCTTTAGCTGTTGGGATCTAGTCAAGCCTTCGAATGCCTGGTAATACTTTGTTTGAAGCCATTTTGCATATCTCTGCTTTCCTTATACTCTGTTTTGTTTTTACAGTTTTCTCTTTGAGGGGTTGATTTTATTTATTTGAGAGAGGGAGGGAGAGCCAGCGACAGCGCTCTCTTCCACTGCCTGGGTCACCCCCTAAAGTCTGGCAATGACCAGGCTGGGCAGTCAGGAACCCACCTGCTGACTCCCAAGGTGGGCACTGGCAGGAAGCTGGAGTCAGGGGGGCGCCGAACGGGGGAATGGATCCCAGGTACCCCAATAACGGACGTGGGGGTCTTACCGGCCATGGCACCTTAATCGCTAGGCCAAACGCCAGACCCCCTAGGAAGGCATTCTTATTGCTGTGTTCTTGGGGACACTTCGCTACCGCTTCGCACTGCCAAACACGCTTCTCTATCACCAAACAGCAAAGCACAGTGCTATCCATGTTTCTAGGCAGGCCAAGCTGCTTCACAAAGACCCCATGATTTTGCTACGTCTCTGAGAATACACAACCTACCCGGCATCTCACCCCGGGAGTGTGCCTGTTTTACTGCGCCTCTAGGCTCTCTGCGGGCGTGCACGCAGCTAGCAGCTAGCACGTTTTACGCTGTAGACCCTCCCTAACTGGATTTAGGATCAACCATTCCTAACAGGGAAAATCAGGTCGTTCCAAGCGCGGAGGGCAAACCACAGACCCCCGAGCACAAGCTGCGGCGGGCCTCGGGCGGCCAGCACGCGGGACCCACCCTCAAGGTCTCCGGGTCCGTGCCTCCGGCGGGAGGAACCCCGCGCACGCACCCGGGGCCCAGGTCTCCCGCCAAAGCCCGGGAGATCTGCTTCCGGTTTCACTTACCGGCTGCTTCCGGTCGCGTCCCGGGCTTCTTGTGTGTTCTCACGGGTTCTTGCGGGACGAGGACGCGTCTGACTGCGAGCTCCCGGCGTCCCAGTCGGGCCCGGCCTGGGTCTCCTGTCGGCTCCGCCCAGGGGCGGAGTCTGGCCTGGGCCCGCCCCCCGAGGGCCCGCCCCACCGCTCGCAAGGCCTGACTGCCGGAAGTGCCGGCGGAAGCGGGGCTGTCCCCGGAGCGCGCCCGGACTCCCTCTGGCTTTCCGGGGTCGCGGGGCCCGGGGCTCCCGTAGGCCGGGGTCGCGGGGCCCGGGGGAGGGCCAAGCCCACCCAGGGACACTTGTGGGAGGGCCAAGCCCACCCAGGGACGCAGGACACATGGGAATAAAATACAAAAGTCACAAATCCCCAGTTCAAATGAGAGTTCTGTGCGTGACGGCTCGGAGTTACCGCCAGCCGGAGGCGAAGGTGGGAGAAGCTGGTGTGGTGTGGTGTGGTGTGGTGTGGTGTGGTGTGGTGTGGTGTGGTGTGGTGTGGTGTGGTGTGGTGTGGTGTGGTGTGGTGTGGTGTGGTGTGGTGTGGTGTGGTGTGGTGTGGTGTGGTGTGTGCGGTGCGGTGCGGTGCGGTGGAGCGAGCTCAGGGGGAGGCGCCGGAAACCCAGGGCCGTCGGGCAGGGGTCTCTCACCCCATCCCGAGCACTGACCCTGCAGGTATCGCCCTGGTCTTTCATATCGCCTCCCCACTGTCCAGACGGCAGGTTAACTCCCCTTGACAGGTGAAGAAGCTCACTCATATTGGCTTGGGAAGAAATTGCATTTGGAGGAATAAACGTAGGCATTCGCAATATAGAGATGGCAGTAAGTAGGATGGAGTGGAGCGGAAAATGCACCCCGAGGCTAGTGATTTTTTGCTTAAGGTTTATTTTATTTATTTGACAGATGGAGTTAGAGAGAGGTAAATAGAATGAATCTTCCATCCGCTGGTTCACTTCCCAAATGGCCATAACGGCCGGAGCTGAACCATCCGAAGCCAGGAGCCAGGAGCTTCTTCCGGGTCTCCCACGCGGATGCAGGGGCCCAAGGACTTGAGCGCACTAGCAGGGAGCCGAGCCGGATGGGAAGTGCAGCAGGCGGGACTCACAGGGGGTGTCGACGCTGCAGGCTGGGGCTTTAACCCACTGCGCCACAGCGCCATCCCCTAGCGATCTTTGTTTAGGGTGTCCCTCATACCATTTGGCAGGAAATCCCCCCAGCTGCTAAGGTAGCATGGTCATAGTTTCAACTCACTATTGCATGCCTTAACAAACTGCCACCAACATTAGTGGCTTACAAGGACTTATGGTCTCTAGCAATCATGTGGCAGGTTGGGTGATTCCTCTGCTGGTATCACCAGAGCTTCTCCCCGGGCTTCCCTAGGCCAGGGCTGGCTGCACTGGGCTGGTTGGGCAGAGCCTTAGCAGCAGCCCTTCAGCTGCGTTGTTTGCCAAAGCAACAACAAAGCCAGCCCAGAGGTAAGGGGTCGGGTAATGGGCCCATAGAGTTTAGTAAACCTTCTTTTTCAGTGACAGTGGAAGACAAGTCTTGCCTCTTGGAGTAAGAAGTGATCAAGGTTCACCACTTGGTGGTGCCAATACTGCATCTGACCAGGGTGTCCTATAGAGCTACGGTGAAGACCCAGTGACCCCTCATTTATCATTACACCTGTGAACAGTCACCCAGAGTCGGTCTTGCATCATGCACGTGGGATTAGTGTTCAGAATTTAATTCCCATAGGCATTTTCCTATTTGAAATAACCACATAATATTGTTACTCTGCTTATATCCCTGCTAAATGCCATTTCTTTGGAAATTAAGATGGCTCTCCCCCGCCCCGTACCCGGCCCCTATTGTCTTCTGAGGTGGTGTTAAGGGTCCCCTGCCTTTCTCCCTCCTCTAAGGCTTCTGTCCCTTGGTTATTCTTACTCCCTCTCCTACCTCTTCGCCTCTCTGTGACACTCAGACACGCGTACCCTGTCTCATCTCAACAGTCCTCACTTCTTCCACCTTCATCCTTCCACTCCCTTCAAAGCAGAGCTGCTTCTACTTCCCCACTTCCAAATCTGCTCTAAAATGGCTTTTGCCTCACTGTCCCAGCGGAAGTGCTTCTGACCCAGGTCACTGGTGACATCGTGTTGGCAGATCCAACGGACTTTCACTGTTCTTCATCTAACCTCTCGGCTCACGGCCTCTACCTGGCAAGACTCCTGTGGGTGACCTTGACGTTCACCTGCCCCGGTTTTTCTCCAGCCCCATTGCCAAATCCTCAGCGCCCAGCTGTTCCTGTTCTCATCAGCCGCTAACCGTTTCGGTTTTTATCTCACACTGTGTGTTCTCCTTAAACAATCTCCCTCATTCCTATGGCTTTATAAATACCACATCTGAATACAACTTCAAATTTTTTTTTTTGACAGGCAGAGTTAGACAGTGAGAGAGAGAGAGAGAGAGAGAAAGGTCCTCCTTCCGTTGGTTCACCCCCCAAATGGCCACCACGGCCGGCACTGCACGGATCCGAAGCCAGGAGCCAGGTGCTTCCTCCTAGTCTCCCATGTGGGTGCAGGGTCCAAGCACTTGGGCCATCCTCCACTGCCTTCTCAGGCCACACCAGAGAGCTCGACTGTAAGAGGAGCAGCCGGGACTATAACCCGGCACCCAAATGGGATGCCGGCGCTGCAGGCGGAGGATTAACCAACTGAGCCACCATGCAGGCCCCCCAAAATATTTTTTAGTTCCATATATATAACTACTTTAGAAACCTAGGATGTCCGAAATCCGTGCACCTGAATTCTCTCTTCCCCTCAGGGGATTTTCATGTGTTGCCCTTTCTTGCTAGAAACCCTTTCTTCTTCCTTACTTTCCACTTCCCAGCCATCACCACATCTGCCAAGTTCTCCTGGACTCTTGTCATAATCTACTTGGACAAGCATGTCAATGCAAAAACTATAAATGTCATGTCCTCAGAGACATTGTGAGAACTAGCCCTCCTAGTTCTCACAATTAAAATCGAGTTTATGTGTTGTGCCTCCTATTATCTCTCTAAATGCTTCAGTTTTTCTCCCAGGCACGTCAGTTTTATCTTCTGCAGTTAGTCTGTAATGTTTTTGTCTTCTCTGGTGGACAGTGCTGTGAAGGCCGTGGCTGCTTACTCACTGCGTATCTCCAGCACAAAGCACACTGCCAGGGCAGATATGCCAATGAAAGACTTGTATGTTTTTTCTGTTTTTCTCTTCTAAAAATTGATGTTCTGTAAACGACACAAAGCATGGTCTTATTGGCTTGTGTTCCATTCAACATTTTTTTCCTCCTCTAGGCCCACTACTACCTACAAATATATTTCCTCAGTATTTTTCTGATTTATAAAATACTGACTCCCCCAAATGAAGATTTCTTTTCCTTTTCGTTTGTTATGACTATTAAGGAGGTTACACAGTTCAGCATCAATAAAGTACAGGAAGATGTTCAAAACATATATAATACAATTACAGGCCATAGTCCAGTTAAAAAAATGGCTTTAATTTCATCTAACAATATTGCTGTTCCACACAAGACATTTTAATAACCAATATATTCAACACTTTTTTTAAACACTGTGTTTTTTAAATTAAATATTGGTGGTATACAATGGTAACAGCTGCAAGATAAACCATTACAATTAGAAAGAGTATTTTATAACTGAAATTATTTCAATGTGAGGAATATAACAGCTTTAAAAGGAAAGTGTGAAATGTGATACGCTTCTTTCTGAAGATGCACAATTAGCCTGTCTTTTGCAGAGTTCGTCTGCAGTGATCTTATACAGAATAGAAATGGAAAATGTAGGAAGGTAAAGTACCTCAAAGCAAAATCCCAAATTGGAAATGTCACATACAGAACTGGTCCACCAAACAGCATGTGAAATACTGAAGTCAAATTGCTTGCACACTTTAAAAAAAATAACACTTGCTAAAGAAGTACAGTGAATGTTGATGCCATTCAAATATTCTTACTGAAAAACTCTGTTTTTTTAATAAGGATAGAATATACTACCAGAAAAACCTGTTTTAAATTTTGGAAGGCTTTTTCTCCTTAAAGCAACTGCCTTTTGAATACACATCATCAAAAAGTGCAGTCTAAGATGGCTCATAAATAGTGAAAATTAAATATTCTTCCTTCATTTTGTCAACTTTCCTGAATAAAGTTCAGTTCTCATTCAACACCCCCTCTTTCAAAAGCAATTTTGGTTTCTGTGTTAGTATGTAGAAATTACTTCATTCCACATCTGTCATTTCTATCCCATCACTTTCTTTAACATATACCACTGAACCCAAGGCTTTCTCTGAAAGATATCCTGTGCCAGTCCCTTCATTCCTTGAAAAGTTGACTTGGCTTGTGTCTTCAAACCTTATTTTCTTGGTGTTCTGAAATAACTGAGTCACAGGTTCCAACTTCGTTTTCTCAGTCCCCTGTATTAACTGGTCATCCATTTTTGAATCAGTATGCATAGCAGTTACCTGAGTGACAGATTTGCTGAGTGAAAATCCCATTGGGACTGCTGAACAGATACCACAGTGGTTCGCAGGCACCTTTTTAAGTTGTGGAAATGTTTCTTCAACTTTATTACTGAAAAAAAAATACAGGAAACAAGTGAATACAATAGGAATTTCAATCAATTTTATGTTAATGTTTGGATAAAATGTCATAACAAAAATTCACAGAATAAAATTGCCTTCCACACTTCAGCATTTACATATTCGGGGGAGCACTTGCTCTATACATTCTCACTGAAATTCTTTTTAAAAGGAGATTTGCCTAATTTTATGTTTGGTTGCCTTTCTAAAAATAGAACTTCTAATTGTCCTTCAATCTTGTTAGTAAAAACGTGTAATTAATTTTTTTTTTTTTGACAGGCAGAGTGGACAGTGAGAGAGAGAGAGAGAGAAAGGTCTTCCTTTACCATTGGTTCACCCTCCAATGGCCGCCGCGGCCGGCGCGCTGTGGCTGGCGCACCGCGCTGATCTGATGGCAGGAGCCAGGTGCTTCTCCTGGTCTCCCATGGGGTGCAGGGCCCAAGCACTTGGGCCATCCTCCACTGCCTTCCCAGGCCACAGCAGAGAGCTGGCCTGGAAGAGGGCAACCGGGACAGATCCAGCGCCCCAACCGGGACTAGAACCCGTGGTGCCGGCGCCGCAAGGCGGAGGATTAGCCTAGTGAGCCGTGGCGCCGGCCTGTAATTAATTATTACTAGGTTATAGAAATAATTACCACAGGCCCTGCTAGGTATTCTGCAAGAAAAAAAAAAGTCCAATAAAGATATGGTATTTGGTATTAAGAATGCCCTATTTATTAATAGTAGAGAGCAGGCAACATTGAGTGAGGCCTTGAAAAGTTTCCCAAAGGAGTGGGGGCCTAGGTCAGGGTGCGGCTTTGAAAGGCAGGCAGGAATTTTCTAGGAAGAGTTGACCAAGATGGTAGAAGGGGAGGGACTCTTGGCACAATATATTTGAGAAAGCCCAATTCTTTTTCTTTCTTTAACAGGGTTTATTTTTATTTATTTGAAAGGCAGAGTTACAGAGAAAGGGAGATCTTCCATCTTCTGGTTCACTCCCCAAAGGGCTGCAATAGCCAAGGCTGTGTTAAGCAGAATCCAGGAGGCAGGAGCTTCACCTGGATCTCTGGCATGGGTACAGGGGCCCAAGCACTTGGGCCATCCTCTGCTGCTTTCCCAGGCACGTTAGTAGGGAGCTGGATTGGAAGTGGAGCAGCCAGGACTTGAATTGGCATCCAAATGGGATGCTGGCACTGCAGAAATTGGCTTTACCAGATACGCCACAATGCTGGCCCAAGGAAGCCCAGTTCTTATTGCAGAATACTAATCTACCAAAGGTGCTGAGATCTGAAGCACACTCCACAGCTATGAATGAAGGCATTCACCTACTTGCTAGAATATTTGCTTTAACAGTTAGCTACTATAATGCTTTTTAATTTTTTTTTTTGAGATTTTTACTTATTTGAAAGGCAGCATTACAGAGAGGCAGAGACATAGAGAGAGAGAGAAAGAGAGAGGTCTTCCATCCGCTGGTTCACTCCCCAGATGGCCGCAATGGCCGCAGTTGCATCAGTCAGAAACCAGGAGCCAGAAGCTTCTTCCAGGTCTCCCACATGAGCGCAGGGGCCCAAGGACTTGGGCCATCTTCTACTGCTTTCCCAGGCCATAGCAGAGAGCTGGATCAGAAGTGGAGCATCAGGGACTTGAACCGGCGCCCATATTGTATGCTGGCACTGCAGGAGGCAGCTTTACTTGCTGTGACGCAGTGCTGGCCCCTCTAATTTTTTTTTTTTTAATGTAAATTTTATTTCTCTCTCTTTTTAAAAACTTTTATTTAATAAATATAAATTTCAAAAGTACAACTTTTGGATTATAGTGTCTTTTCCCCCCATAACCTCCCTCCCACCCACAAGCAAGCATCCCATCTCCCACTCCCTCTCCCATCCCATTCTTCATCAAGATTCATTTTCAATTATCTTTATATACAGAAGATCAATTTGGTATATACTAAGTAAAGATTTCAACAGTTTGCACCCACACAGATACACAAAGTATAAAAAACTTGTTTTCAAATGTTTGAGTACTAGTTTTACCATTAATTCACATAGTTTACAATTCCATACCCTTCAAGCCCTAATTATCTTGAAATCCTGTTTATCCATTTCTATAATGGAATACCGATGTTTAATCTAGCCTATTGTAGTATTCTAAATACTGTAGTTGTACAAATGTTAACAATTAGATAAATAGTAATGATTTGGCTTTGTGGGAATCAAATACAATTTCACTAATTTTGTAAATGTCTCTGATGAAATTCTAAAACGTAGGTACACTTGTTTCTTAGATTTGTAACGTCAAGATGGATTTTTCTTCCTCACCAAAGTAATATCCAGTACTACCTTCAAATTAATAAAACTGGCTTTATTCTATTCTATGGTTTTTCTTCTTTAATTACAAAGAAAACATCCTGTCAAAAATGCATAATCTGAATCTACTCATGAAGAAACAAAGAAACCCAAATTGACAGTCTATTAAACAAAATGCCTGTATCTGTTTTATAGTATCAATGACATGAAAGTAAGAAAAGCAGAGGAACTGTTTCAGATTCAAGGATAATAAAAATGCAGGACTTCCAAATGCAATGGACGATCCTGAATTGAGGGTGGTGGTGGAGAATGTACTATAAAGTCACTGCTTGAACAATTTCAGAATTTAGACATGGAGGGTTTCTTAGATAATAATGTTGCAATGTGACCACTCTATTCACGTTCTGGTGAATGTCCTGGGTCTTAGGAAATACATGCTGAAATAAGGGTGAAGGATCAGATCTGCGCTTGTTTTCAAATGGTTTAGCAACAGACACATTGATAGGAAGATAAATACAGAGAGAAAGTAAAATATGCCAAATATTAACAATTATTGAATCTAGAAAATAAATAGTAAAAAACTAAGCATATTATTCTTTTTTATTTTTATTTTTTTTATTTTTGACAAGCAGAGTGGACAGTGAGAAAGAGAGACAGAGAGAAAAGTCTTCCTTTGCCGTTGGTTCACCCTCCAATGGCCGCCGCAGCCAGCGCACTGCGCTGATCCGAAGGCAGGAGCCAGGTGCTTCTCCTGGTCTCCCATGGGGTGCAGGGCCCAAGGACTTGGGCCATCCTCCACTGCACTCCCGGGCCACAGCAGATAGCTGGCTTGGAAAAGGGGCAACCAGGACAGAATCCGGCACCCCAACCGGGACTAGAACCTGGTGTGCCAGCGCCGCAAGGCGGAGGATTAGCCTAGTGAGCCGCAGCGCCGGCCGCATATTATTCTTGTTACATTTCTGTAAGTTTAAAGCCTTTCAAAATGTCAAAATTGGAAAACAGTTTGAAAAAACACTAACAAATTCTACAGTCATACTGTGTTTGAAAGCAACAAATGTAAACTAATAATAACATAATTATCAGTTTGTACATTAAACTTCAATCTAATAGTGTGATTGAAGAGGAACCAAATAGGTTAGATTTGGCACTGCGGATTATCTCACCTTACCTCCCCCAGAATCCAGAGGGCTTGCAGGAAGAAAAAGTCTAATGGGGCTTCTTTGGCCTGCTTGCCATTCATGAAGTCTTAAATGTACATGGAAGAATAAAAGAATATAAGAAGCTAAATCAGGGCTGACATTGTACTGCAGTGGTTACTTCTGGTCTAGCTGCCTGCTAATGTGCCTGGGAAAGCAGTCAAGATGGCCCACGTAGTTGGGCACCTGCACCCATGTGGGAGACCTGGAAGAAGCTCCTGGATCCTGGCTTCTAGCTTCAGATTGGCCCAACTCCGGCTGTTGAGGCCATTTGAGGAGTGAACCAGCAGATGGAAGATCTTTTTCTCTCTGTCTCCCACCCCACCCCCCCAGCCCCGTAACTCTGCCTTTCAAATAAATAATCTTTTTTCTTTTTTTTTTTTTAAATAGAAAGGCTACATCAATTTGGACAAAAAGAACAAAGAAACTTGCCTACTTGCCTTAACAGATATGTTACAAAGCCAAAGTAACACAACCAGTCAGGTGCAGTTAAACCCATAAAACAGGACAGAACTGCAACTTGAACTTGGGTATGTTCAGGAACTTCACATATGACACAGGCGGCACTCTTAGGCAAAGGAGAGAGAACAGACTTAGTATGACAATGTTATGGCCACTGGCTCATTATGTGGACAAAAGTAAAGCAAAGATCCCTGTCATATATATATATATATATATATATATATATATATATATATATATAAAAGTGGAGTCCAAGTGCATTAAAGATCTAAATATGAAAGGCAGGACTGTAAATGCAATAGAAGAAAATGTAGGAAAATATATTTGTCACCTTCAGGTGAAGGATTTCTTGAACAAGACCTAAATATAAAAAAGAACTCCTTAAAGTCAACAAGGAAAAAAGAAAAGCTAGTAGAAAACTGGACAAAGAATATAAAGACATAATTCACTGGGTAGGGAACTCCAAGTAGATAATCAGCATATTAAAGAGATATTCCTATTTAGCAAAAATCACACCAATGCAAATGTACTGCCACCAGAATGGTGGACTTTACAAGGGTAAACAGTATCAGGTATTCAAAAGACTACAGGAGGACAGGAAACTTTGGACACTGCTGGAGGAGTCATTCCAACTCCTGTCTTTGAGTTCCATGCCCAATTTACCAATGAATCTTCTCCCCCCCCCCTTTTTTTTTTTTTTTTAAGATTTATTTATTTGTAAAGGCAGAGTAACAGAGAGCAATAAAAGCAGAGAAAGAGATCTTCCATCTGGTGGCTAACTCCCCAAATGGCTGCAACAAGCCAGGGCTGAGCCAGGCTGAAGCCAGGGGCCTGGAATTCCATCCAGGACTCCCACGTGGGTGGCAGGAACCCAAGTCCTTGGGCCATCTCGCACTGCTTTCCCAGACACATTATCAGGACGCTGGGACAGAAGTGGAGCAGCCAGGGCTCCTGCCAGCACTCGGACATGAAATGCTGGCACTGCATGCACTGGCTTATTCCGCTGTGCCACAATGCCAGCCCAATGGATCCTCTTTCTATTTCCACCCCTGTCCATCCTCCCTGCTGTACATTCTTCAAAGACTTTGAAAGCATAAGCCAAATCCCATCAATCCTCTGCTCAACAGTGCTAGGCGCTTTTCATCTCAGAGCAAAAGCCAGATTCCTTATACACCTAGACCCCAGCTATGGTAGGAACAGAAGTGGTCTCCAATGATGTGTATATCTAATCTCCAAAACCTATGAATTCATTGTGTTACACGGAAAGGGGGAATTGAGGTTGCTAGTCTGTTGACCCTGAAGTGAGAAGATTACCCTGGATTAATTTGGTGATGCCTTTACAAGTGAAACAGAGAGGCCGGAATGTTGGTGGAAACGTGAGCAGCACTTGACTGGCCATTGTTGGCTGTGAGAGCCAAGGAATGTGGGCAGCCAGTGGAAGCTGGAAAGGCCAGGGAACAGATTTTCCCCGTTTCCAGCATGAATGCAGCCTTGCCAACATCTCAGTGTTAGCCTACTGAGACCTTTTTTGGACTTCCAACCTCCAGAACTATGTTATAAGAAACCTGTGTCACTTCAGGCCACAATGACTGTGGTAAATTGTTATGACGCCAATAGTATAGTAAAGAGACACTCTTGTCTTAACATACAACACTGTCATCTCTCTCTCTCCCTTAATCTGCCTCTGCCCTATGACCTCATTGCTGTTCCTCAACTGTGTGCTGTGCCAAACCCTCTCCTGTTTCAAGGTCTTTGTGCTTGGTTTCCTCAGCTGGAAACAATTTTTGCATTGCAAACGCTTCGAAGTTGGGGATAACTAGTGACATGGGACCTGCGGCTATGAATGGGGGAAGACGTCTGCTTCCATCCATAGTGGAGGAATGGGGACCACATTTATCCTCATGCTTTAAACATCTTAAAAATAACAACAGACAAAACACATGGAACAATGATCTTCTGATGTTGATGTAGGCAGCAGCTCAGTAAAAAGGCAAAATTGCCCCAGACATTATACTGGAGTTGATGATAAACCTTAAAAGCGAGACTCTAAATAGCACTATGCAATAGAGCTTTCTCTAGCGAGGGAAATATTCTGTATCTACACCATTCCATATGGTAGCCAGTTGCCAAATATGGTTTCGGAATTTGAAATATAGATAGTACATCTGAGGAAATGATTTTAAAAACTTTATTTCATTACTATAAATTCAGACAACCACATGTAGCTAGTGGCTTCCGTTTGAGATAGTACAGATCTAAGTTTTCCAAATAAACTTACTGCATCTCAGAAGAAAGCCAATTTTTTTAATCATTTATTTGAAAAGCAGAGTTATAGAAAGGAAGAGGCAGAGAGAAAGAGAGGTCTTCCATCTGCTGGTTCACTCCCCAGATGATGTGCCGATTCAAAGCCAGGAGCTTCTTCAGGGTCTCCCACGCAGGTGCAGGGGTCCAAGGACTTGGGCCATCTTCTACTGCTTTCCCAGGTCATAGCAGAGAGCTGGATCAGAGGTGGAGCAGCCGGTACTCAAACCAGATGCCGGCACTGCAGGCTGGGGCTTTACCCTGCTGATATACAGCGCCGGCCCCAGAAAACCAAATATTTATTTTTTTCCCTTTTTTTAAAAAAATATATTTATTTATTTGAAAGGTTACAGAGAGGCAGAGGCAGAAAGATAGAAAGGTCTTCCATCTGCTGGTTCACTCTCCAGATGGCCACAACAGCTAGAGCTATGCGGATCCAAGGCCAGGAGCCAGGAGCTTCTGGGTCTCCCACGTGGGTGCAGGGGCCCAGGAACTTGGACCATCTTCTACTGAAAGCCAAATATTTTTAAAGGAAAAAACAAAAACAATCCTATAGCATCCAAAAGTGCAAAATCTTCACTCTTTCAAAATCAATCAAAACTCAGAAGGCATGAAAAGAAGCATAAAAGTACAACCCACAGGGCTGTTGCTGCAGCATAGTGGGTAAAGCTGCCACCTGTAGTGCTGGCATCCCATATGGGCACCGGTTTGAGTTCTGGCTGCTCCACTTCCAATCCAGCTCCCTGCTAATGTGCCTGGGAAAGCAACGGAAGACAACCCAAGTGCTTGGGCCCCTGGCACCCACAAGGAAGACATGGCTGGAGTTCCAGGCTCTTGGCTCCGGCCTTGCCAAGTCCCAGGCATTGCAGTCATATAGGGAGTGAACTAGCAGATAGAAGTTCTTTTTTTCTCTAACTCTGCCTTTCAAATAAGCAAATGAATCTGTTAAAACAATAACTAATTAAAAATGAACAGAGCGGCGCTGTGGCTGGCAGGTAAAGCCTGCAGTGCCGGCATCCCATATGGGTGCAGTTCAAATCCTGGCTGCTCCGCTTCCTATGCCACTCTCTGCTGTGGCCTGGAAAGCAGTAGAAGATGGTCCAAGTCCTTGGGCCCCTGCACCCACGTGGGAGACCCGGAGCTCCTGGCTCTTGGCTTTGGACTGGCACAGCTCCAGCCGTTGCAGCCAAGTGGGGTGTGAACTAGCAGATGGAAGACCTCTCTCTCTCTTTCTACCTCTACCTCTTCCTCTCCTTCTCTCTGTGTAACTCTTTCAAATAAATAAATCTTAAAAACAAAACAAAAAAAACAAACAAACAAAAAAAAAAAACAAACCAGAGCATCAGTAGGCTGTGGAATCCTAGTTTTTTTTTTTTTTCCTTCTTTTCTTGGAAGGGACCAGGAAAAAACAAAAAAGGCAAAACAGCTGGTTTTTAGTGAAGTTTATGAAATGATGGAGAAACTAAGGCACTAGAAAATCCAAAACTTATAATGAGACAGAAGGTGTCTGAATCAAGAGATAGCAAGAGTACTAAATAAGGTTTACGTGGGGGAGGATGGAGCACTCACCACTCTTTGGGATTCCATAGAGGGAAGGGATTTCCCTCCCAGGTTAGGGAAGTTAAGAGTCCTCTACGGAAAAACAAAGGAAGATCCGTATGCTCTGTTTGACCTGAAAATGATCTTTTTCCCACATTCTTCCCATAGAACTTTCAGGAATATCTAGATGGCATATTTCATTGCCTAAACTTTTGTCACTCATTTCCTAATAGAATTACTTTCCTACCTACTTTATTAATAATCCTCTCCTCTCCACATTTTTAATTCTATACAGTACATTTTTCTTATTAGTTTTCAATAATGCTAGGTAACAAGATTCCTATATTCAAACTAATTTCAGTTATCTGAAGACGCCATGAGATTATCCATTTATTCCCAGAACATAATTTTTCAGAACGATTTCTGAGAATGCACTGCTTCTTTGTCACTTATTTTATCACTTATGTATAATTATATTTCAGGACAAATGTGTTCCTTGGGTCTTCTGAGATGTTTACCTGAAAATAAAAGGCAGCAGTTGGCAATTGTCTCATGGGTAGCTGGGATACTCATGTCTCATTTCCGACTGGGTTCCTGGCCACCAGCTTAGTCCCCAGTGGCTGTGGGCACTTGGGGGAGTAAATGAGCAGATAGGAGCCCTCTCTCTCCCTTGTTTCCTCTCAAATGAACATTTAAAAAAACAATAAAAGAGACACTCAGTTTAACTTTCTAGTGTCGTTATACTTTAAAAATGGTATCTGAAAATAAAATACAATATATGAGACTATGGCACAAACACCCTATGAAAACAACAAGAAGCTGAAAAAATAAGGGACTTTTATGAAGAAATCTGTTTGAACCTAAAAATTGCTTATCCTTTTTATGTTGTGTGTGTGTGTGTGTGTGATGGGGGAAGAGTACTCACCAGGAATTGTCTCCTTAAACAAATCTTACTTTCAAAACGCACAGGTGTATATTACATCTAGGGCATCAGAGGACTGCTGTAAAAACCGAGTATCTGTAATTCAACTGTAGAAAAATGCAAGGGGATGAAGTCAGCGCTGAGGTTCAGAAGTTCTTGGGTTGTTTAAGAAAGATGACATACTAAATAGTAAGAAATATTCCTATTCAAGCTGGGCCCTTAAAAAACTGGCAGAATCACGCCAGTCTCATTCTTCACTAAAAATCTAATTTACCAACCTCAAGGTCATGTTCATTTTCACGCACTTGGATGGCCAAAAAGACGACAAAAGGTTAAGTTACTGAGTGAGCTCCGACCAGAGGCTCCCAGATAAAAAAGTTTAAATAGTATTAAACAGAAAACGATCCAGTATTAAATATGAAGTGAGATTGTACATCTTTTCGTTTTCTTCGTTAAACATCACCGGTTTTCCGGAAATGGGGTCTGGCGAAGCACCAGCATGTGCAGAAGAAATAGTGGGCAGGAACCAGGGTTTTCACTGCTTGTTTTGCCACTTCCCAAATCAACCCAGCCTCGGCGGCACAGCGCTGACCGAGGCCGGGTCGCCTCACTCCCCGAGGCCGAAGAAGAACCCCACCTGGTAGGCTTCCTGGAAACCGGCCCCGTCGGCTGCGGCAGCGGCTGCGCCAACAGCAGCTCTGAGGAGTAATGGGCTCGCCGAACTCAGGTCCCAGACGATTCCGGCTCCCGGGGCCAACTAGCACAAAGACACCGCCACCAAGCAGCAGGTGTCCCAGAGGGAGCGGAGGCGCCTGCGCATGCGCGTTCCCGCCAGGTGCGACCGGCCCGGGCCGCGGGTACGGAAAGAAGTCTCGCGGCTGGTTACTAGGAGACGGGACGCTCGGGCCGGGAGCTGGGCGCTGCGTGGGCGTGCGCCTGCGCGGCGCGGATGGGCCAGAGAGACGCCTCTCCTCGGCGCCCTGTACGGCGGGCAGGTGGATGTACGCGACGCTACGTGCGTAGGTGCGCGCGCGCACGGCTGTAGTCCTGTCGAGAGGGAGGGTCGAGCCAGGTACGCGTGCGCACGGGGACCGGAGGCGCGTGGGACGGAAGCGGAGCCAAGGCGCCGCTGAGGTGGAAGACGAGCCCGCCTCAGGTACAGAGCGTGAGGGCGGGGCCGAGGGCGGCTCCGGCCGGCGCTAACCGCCCCCGCCCGCTTGCCGCCGGGTCCCCTCCCTCCTCCGACTCCGCCGGGGCGGGGCCAGGTCGACTGGGGGTGTGGGAAGGGCGGGGACAGGGGCGGAGGATGGAGGCGGGGAGGGCCCCGGCTCGCCGGCGGAGGCCGAAGCCCGGCAGTCGCCGGGATGAGCTCCGCGGAGGACGCGGGGCCCAGGAGCCCGAGGAGGGACCCGGAGCGCCAGGTAGAAGCACGGAGGATGCGCCGGGGTGGCGGGGTGGGCTCTCCTGGGCTTGAAGGCCCCGGCCGCGGGAGGGTGGGAGTGGTCGGCGTGGGGGCTGCGGGCGACCTGAGGAGGGTCCTCGCTGCCCGAGCCGCGGTGAGGGGCCGGAGCGGACGGAGCGGCGGGGTCCGTGTTGTCCGGCCTTGGGAGCCTAGTCCCTATGGTGACCGCCCCGCCTCCTGTCGCTCCGCGCTCCGTTGTTGGGGACGCGGTTTTGTTTGGGAACTCTGTAGCGGAGCTGAGGAATTTGGAAGGCGAGAGATGGGGAGGTTCAGCCTGGCTCTCAGTCTCTCTTCAGAGTCTCCATAGACTTAGGGAATCGGGGGCCGAGACCGTAGCAGGCATTTGCATGAAATCCTCGTATAATTTCAGGAGAAACTACAGCGAAGGCAGGGTAGCAGGGCTGTGTTCGGAAAAGATCCTTGAGCCTGGTTGATCAGGGACCTGACACTGAAATGCACAGGGATACACTTGTGTGGGGGGTTTTTTTTGCCCGTCAGATAAAGTCAAGGATTGCGGCTTTAGGAAGTTTTGCATGTCGGACAGAGTTCCAGCGCTTGTATACCACGACATCCGATGCTTTAAACTTCCTCTGCTGATTGTCAGCACTTTTTTTTTAAAATTTATTTGACAGGTGGTGTTATAGACAGAGAGAAAGGTCTTCCTTCCGTTGGCTCACCCCCTAAATGGCCGCTACGGCCGGCCAGCACCGCGCTGATCCAATGGCAGGAGCCAGGTACTTATCCTGGTCTCCCATGGGGTGCAGGACCCAAGCACTTGGGCCATCCTCCACTGCACTCCCTGGCCACAGCAGAGAGCTGGACTGGAAGAGGAGCAACCGGGACAGACTCCGGCGCTAGAATCTGGGACTAGAACCGGGGGTGCCGGCGCTGCAGGCGGAGGATTAGCCTAGTGAGCCGCGGCGCCGGCCAATTCTTAATTGTATTTTAAGTAATCTGTAACCCAATCCCTGAGTCCTAATCAGTGGGAAATTTACTTTATTAATTTATTATTAAATTTACATTAAACCCTGAGGCAATACTTAATGGTGGCTTTCAAAATATATCACAACTGTTAACTTTCTGAAAAAAGAAAAAAAAGTCACTGCTTGTTGTCTGGAGTATAATCAGGTATCCAGACTGGTTGGGCTCTCCTTTCTGTCTTTTTCAGTTGTTTGAAGCAGTTTGCTTTAGGATGCTTGGTTTTTAAAGTCTCCGTACGCAGAGGCAGTCGGAGCAGGTGTCACTGTTCATCCTCTTCAGATCATCCATCCCTTTCTCTCCCCACAGGTAGCAACTATCTCAACTTCTAATAGGATTTTTCCTTACAGTTTGAAACTATATATGTGAACAAGGGAGTTTAGTTTGCCTTTTTTTTTAAACTTTATATAAATAGAATTGTATTTAGGTATTCTTGCTGTTGCTTGTAGTTGGTTTGCTGGCTAGTGTTCTATGTTCTGTTGTAAGGGTGTATTACAGTTTAAATACTGCACTGTTGGTGGACATTAAGGTTTTTACAGTTTTTGGCAATGATGAATGACACTGCAATGAACTTTTAATACATGTATTTCAGGATAACCTTTCGAAGTGAGCTCATTAGCAAAGTAATTATTTTTGTTAAGCTATTAACGTCAGTCTTTTATGTTAATAAATTCTTGTAGCCCAGAAGAGCTTCTTGAAAACAACTGTGTAATCCCTGATGGAGCAAGGACAAAAAGCCTTAGATCCATGTTGATGTCTCACCTACATAACAGCAAGCGAGCCCCCTTGTCTCTGCCCTGCTAATACAGCCCGCCCTGCTGTGATCAGCCCTGCCCTGCCTGGACTGCTGGACACTCCACTATCTGAAGAGTCCAGCTATCAGGCTGAGCTCGCCCCACTCCTCCCAAACTCTCTCCCTTCCCCTCCCTCGGTTCAGCAGCCCAGCCTCAGCCCAGACCCCTCCCAGTTCACACCATAATCTCTCAGGACCTTTAGAACTAGCTCAAGCTCTCCCTGTATCTCAGACCCCAAGCCCCTCTTTGCCACTTTGTACTATATAAACCACTAGTCTGTAAGGGAAGGGACTCTCTCTGCTGTGTGTTCACCTGGGAGTGAGCCCCTCCCTGGCTTTATTCTTCTGAATAAGCCTGGCCTGGCTGTGGCTTCATACTCTGTCTGTTTCCTGGTAATTCCTTTTTGTGTTTCCAAGAGGTCTTGATAAACATTATTTCTCCTGTGGCCATTTTTTATGCTTCTTTGAAAAGACAAGTTATTTCTTTACACTTATGTGTGGATTGTGGAAAAGAGAGGAGCTTGGGTTTGGATGGAATGACCAGGGAGGTTCTTCTTAAGAAGGATTGAACAGTGGGGCTTTACTGTTTTGTCTTACGTGAATTCCCAAAACATTTATTCAATTATGTTTATTGTAAATAAAAGGAGTCAAAATTATATATAAAAATTCTGTGTGGTTTTCCACATCTTTCTGTTAGTAAGGCTATTTCTACTTCAGAGTGTGTATAAGTCTAAAAACTTCTGGAGATCATTAAAAAAAAAAAGATTTATTATTTAAAAGAATGATTGAGTTAGAGAGAGACCTTCCATCCAGTGGTTCACTCCCCAGATGGCCCCAACGGCCAGGGCTGAGCCAGACCAAAGCCAAGAGCTTCATCCTGGTCTCCCATGTGAATGCAGGGGTCCAAACACTTTGGACATCTTCTGCTGCTTTCCCAGACTGTTAGCAGGGAGCTGGATAATAAGTGGAGCAGCTGGGACACAAACTGATGTCCATTTAGGATGCCAGTGTTGCAGGTGGCAGCTTTACCTGTTACTCCACAACACCAGCCTCTGCAAAGAATTTTTAAAAAAGAAAACAAATTCAATCCTAGTTGAGCTTTTGTGGAATATGATTGAAGAATCCCATGTGAAAGTACTCTGGTAGTCTCTATTAGCCTGTCAGAATATTCAGTAGACATTGTTGGACCCATGTGTGTCTCATGTTTTGCTCAACATTGATGATATTTTTCAGTACCTCTTATCTCACTGGAAAATTAAAATTCTAGCAGATAGGAACTTTGTCAGATTTCTGTCCCTTTTTTAAATTGTCACTTATACTTGCTAGTGCACACTACCTGGATCTCCTTAGCTGTCTTTCTTTGTCATTTTACATTACCCATATTAATTAGGTTAGCAACCAGCTGTCTTTCTGTCAGTCAACATTAACTGTGTCTTAGGAATATTTTTTTTTAATACTCTAGGGCTGGGGCGGTGTTGTGGTATAATAGGTAAAAGTACTGTCTGTGATGCCAGCATCCCATATGGGTGTTGGTTCATGTTCCAGCTGCTCCACTTCTGATCCAGCTCCCTGCTAATGGCCTGTTAAAAGCAGTGAAAGATGGCCCAACTGTTTGGACAGCTGCCATTCATGTGAGACACCCAGATAAAGCTCCTGGCTTCAGTCTGTCTCAGCCCTGGCCATTATGGCAGTTCGGGGAGTGAGCCAGCAGATGGAATATCTCTCTGTTTCTCCTTCTCTCTCTCTGTAACTCTTTCAAATAAATAAGTAAAATCTTCAGAAAAAAAAATACTGTAGGGTTTCATTACCTGAGGTCATAAGATTATGCAAGGACCTAAGGGAGTTCTAGAACTGTCCCCACCTTGTCCAAATTGTAAAGTTTTGTGTGCACAATATGCATTTTCCTGAGGAGTGGACTCAGGGCTTTTATTTGATTCTGAAAGGGGTCCTTGATATAAAGAGAATTAAGAAATGAGTGTGTCTCCTCTTGAAAGGACCTGGCACAGCATTCGTCTGCCCCCGATTTTTTCTCTACTTTTCTTGCTCCTACAGGCATGCTTCCTGAAAGAAGTCTATGTTCCCTATGTTCCCTGTTTCCTTTTCTTTACAGTTCCTTTATTCATTAATCCTCTTCAAAGCTGCTTCTAACCCACACCTATCACTGAAACAGATTTGCTTGAATCAAAGTGTGTGGTCTTGAAAGTGTTTTATTAAGTCCCAAGTTCATACTGGGTAGTTTTCAGGCTTTAAGGATATAACCAGAAAAGAGCCTTCATCTCCCAAGTTTATGTTCTGATTGGGGGAGACAGACAATAAAGAAATGAGCAAGTAAATGGTATAATATCAGGTAGTGGTAAGTGCAGATAGCCTGATGAGCCAGTGACTGGGAGAAAGGCTACTTTAGGTAAGAAGTGCAGGAAGACCCTCTGACATTGCAGCTAAAGAGCTGAAGATGAGAAGGGGCAGCCAGAAGGAGCTAGAGGAGAGAGTTCTCCTGGCCTAGGGAAAGCAAAACAGAGGCCTTGAAGTGAATGAGACTGGCAGTTGTCTGTTTGGACTACTTTATCAAATTGGGGTGACTTATAAAGAGCAGTAATTTAATTCTCATTCTGGAGGCTGGGAAGTCTGGGGTTATGGCACGAGCAGGTCTGGTATGTAGTGAGGGGCCCATTTCTTGGTTATATATGGTGCCTTGGTTATATATGGTGCCTTAAGGCTGTGCCCTCAGTGTGTTGGAAAGTGTGAGGGAGCTTTCTTGGGCCCCTTTTAGAGGGCAACTAGTTATGTTCCCAAAGGTTGCACCTCTTGATATGCATTGGGATTTCAATATATGAATTTGTGGGGGATGCAAACATTTAGACTTTTGCAGCACATTAGAAGAACAAAAAGAAAATTTAGGAAGCATGTGAGTAAACTAAAGAAGAGTACTAGATCTTTTTTTTTTTTCCAAGATTTATTTATTTATTTGAGAAGTAGAGTTACAGACAGAGGGAGAAAGAGAGAGAGAGGTCTTCCATCTGCTGGTTCATGTACCAAATGTCCGTAATAGCTGGAGCTGAGCTGATTTGAAGACAGGAGCCAGGAGCTTCCTCCGGGTCTCACACGTGGGTACAGGGACCCAAGCACTTGGGCCATCTTCTGCTGCTTTCCCAGGCCATAAACAGAGCTGGATTGGAAGAGGAGCAGCT